AAGTCATTACCATCTATTTTTTTTCATTAAAATATTGTTAAATAACTAATTTTCCAAGCCTCTTTAAATAAACAAATAGAAGATAAAGAAAATAAAAAAAAAATATTATATCTAGTGTTCCAAGTGTTTTTAAAAAGTACCAACAAGACTCACGTTAAATAATTTAAAACATCCTGACAAAAGAAATTTTTTATCCTATCAATTAACCCACCTTTCCCTAAGTCCATCCCTTACGCCCCACCAGCACCAAAATGATTAAAAGGAGGACTAAAAGAAACTTGGATCAAGAAGATCCATCCTTCTTCTTCTTCTTCTTCTTCTTTTTTAATTCTTATAGTACTTACAAGAATGATTTATGGAGCACTGGTGCCCATTTTATTTTAAGTACCCGTGCATATAAATTTATTGGTGGATAAACAAATGGTGAGCTTGAACATTTGAATCAAATTTAAAATTTATCAACAAATTTATATGACATGTCATCAATGTTTAACGTAAGATGGACACCGATACTCATCAAATCATTCATTGTATTAACAAGAAGATAGAAATAAGAATTTGTTGAAAATGGCTAAATCCCGTAAAAAAAAAAAAAAACAATAATAATACAAAATAACCCTCTTGTAACTTCGTTGAAAGAAAAAATATATATATTGGAATGGAAAATCTTGATTACAGGAAAATAGGTAAATTTCTAGATAGTGCGACGGTGGGATGGGGAGAATGGGTGATGGTCAATGGCATAGTGTGAAAGTGGATGAGGAAGAAACACCATTTTGTTTGGTTTTGTTTTGTTTTCGTTTTTTTTTTTTTTTAAATTTTTGATTCTTATCTTACTTATTTTATTATATTTTTAATTCTCCTTTAATTATTTTGGTGGTGGTGATGGAGGAGGAGGATGCGAGATGGGCATAGAGGTGCATGGATTAATTGGAAAGATAAAATATTTTTCTTTTGTTAGAATGTTTTGATTTGTTTAACGAGAGATTCGTTAATACATTTTAAAAAATTTGGAAATCTGGATACAAATCTTTATATTGTTTCTTTCTTTTCTAATTGTTTATTTAACAAGGAGATTAAAATAGTCATTTTACAATACTTTAATGGAGACAATAGATAGTAAGAATCTTTTACGCAAATAAATGTCAATTTGAGCGTTCAAATGTTAAAATTAAAATGATAGGTATGATTTGTACAATGAAGGCAAATGATATGGACATTTTGCACCAATTAACCATATTTCATAGTAGGATTTAATGAAATATGATAGAAATGACCAATTCAACAAGAAGTGTTTGAATTGAGGGTGTAAATGTTAAGTTTGAAATGATATGGACTATTTCCACTATGATGCAAACGACACGGATATTTTTTTGCTAATTATCCATATGATCGTTAGTTTTTGTTGTCCATTGAAAACGTTAAGTTAAACTAACAAATTATATGAAAATCACAGAAATGATATAAATTAGGGCACTACAATTATATTTTCTTGACTAGTCATCTATTTACATTATCACGTCGGACAATTAGATCGAGTTATATAATCGTTTGCCCTTTTAGTTATTATAGCAATTGCAATTTGCATTTTTTAAAAACATTTTCTTCAAATGTGTTTTCACTAGTTCGATTACTATGGCTCCCAACATGCTGGCAGGAAGATAATAACAAGTTCTCACTCGTTAGCATATTAAAGTTCAAGAATGAAAACCACTATCCCATAACAAATTTAAGTAATCTATAAGAGAATCACTTATGACTGATTTCTCAATACGTTCATTATAAATTAATCATCATTTTACTTGATCATGATGTAAAATAAATGGTTGAATGGATTGTTAAACAGCTAGACTAAAAAGAGAAAAATAGTAAAAGCAGTAAATTATAGATTTGGCGTTCGAGCTCCGACTTGGACACTGTACCATTTGGAAAAGATAACGACAAGTTGGACTCGAAAATTACTTTTAAAGTTTTAGTGCCATTTTTGTCATTTAGTTTATTTCAAATTCTTTTCAATTCTAGTTTTGCTTTGTTTTGTTTTTAAATTAGGTTTTCATATAAATCCTTATAAATAAAAGGTTAATTATTCATTTTTTGGGCATCTTACATTAATAAAATTTCGGACGTTTATTTATTTATTTATTTTTCATAATTTAGTGAATTTCAAAAATTGTGTTCTTAAAATTTTTGCTCGAAGTCATTGTTTCACGTTGTGTCAGATCTGATCCAATACACTTCTAGGTGTACTAGTGTTATTGCTCCCGAATGAACAATTGTCACACTTAAAACCAAATCATGTATCTAATTGATAGAGTAATTGACCTTTCAAAATAGACTGCAAACCTCTAGAAGTTGGTATGGAACACATCATTTTTTATCTCTATATTTCTCTATGTAAGTCCATAGCTCATTTATAACAAAGCAATCAACACTTTAATTGCTTAATTATGCAATGAACAATTAAATTAAAATAAATAAATAAACGATAGTTATTTAATATGCAAAATCGAGTTACGATCGATGTCGTAACTCGTAACCAGATGCGACACTGAGGGTGCGCGAGTTGAACGATTGCACTGGGCCTCAAAATTGTAGGGGCGTCAAAAAATTTTTTGTTATAGTTGTATATTTATTTATAATTAAATAATTAAAATATAAAATTTTTATTATTATGCATAAGATATTAAAATTAAGGGTAATGTAACTAATTAATTATAATTTCCTTGAATATAATACTCTTAAATAAATAATGTGAGGGAAAAGGGAAAAGTTCAAAAGAGATCAGGCTGAGAAGAAAGAAAAATTGAACAACCGTCTTTTCCAATCGTCTTTTTTGAAGAAAAGAATTAAAAAAACCAACAATCTTTTTCAATTATCTCAAATATAATTGAGGCAGAAAAGATAGAAACCAATTGTCTTTTTGGAGAAATCGTCTTTTTCTCCAATCATCTTTGATCTAGCTCCAAAAAATCATCTATTTTCCTTAAGCTATGATTGATGATTCGTATTTTTCATTAAGCTCTCGCTGAAAATCTAAATTATTTGCTATCTTTTTTTTATTATCTTTTTGTCGATCTCATTCAATGATTTCACTGATTTGAATTCACTTTGCAAGAATTTGTTAAAATTTAAATTCGCTTTGGATGATGCTAATTTGATAGCATGTTGTAATCATTTTTATATTATTTTAAGACATGTAAATTTTTGCGATCTTGATAGCGAAAATTTATTTCAAGAGTTAAAGGTTTTGCGAAATTTTTTACCAAAAGAAATAAAGACGGCTTTTGATATATTGACTTATTTGAAAAAATTGGATTGCTTTTCGAATAAATGTATTGCTTATAGAATATTATTGACAATTCTTGTTATTGTTGCATCTGTTGAAAGAAAATTTTCAAAATTGAAGTTATTAACATCTTATTTGCGATCAATCATATTATAAGAACTATTAAATAGATTAGCTTGATATCTATTGAGCAAGACTTTTTAGAAAATATTGATTACGAAAGTTTCATTAGTGAGTTTACTTCTAAAAATGCGAGAAGAAATATTTTTACATGATTTATTGCATTTTAAGATTTACACTTGATATATATATTTTTTAAAGTTTGCTTATATGGAGTTGTACGAAGAGGCTAGTGGCTTGAATGATTCTTTATTGATGACATATGAATTGTGATGAAGTTTGAGGATTCTTTTGAGCTTTATTTATGTTTTTCTTGTTCATGTATGTATAAAAAAAATATTTAAATATCATATTTTTGCTATTGAAATATTTTTTTTAATATATATTTTAGTTACTTGAAAGGGGCACCATTTTAAAATTTCACACAGGACAGCCAAAATCTTAGAATCGGCTCTACTTGTAATATTATTGGGCAACATTTATAACATAGAGACAAAATGATTTTATCAAATATTGTTACATTTTTACATCGTTGTGTAAGTGTTGTTATTTACAACTCCATTTCCATTTTAACTTATTTCGTTAATAAACTTAAATAAAGAAATATAAATATAAAAAATTATTTGTATATTGGCTTTGCCTACACCATCTAGTCGCAGGCCACACCAAGCACGATAATTTTAAATTGTGTACATCTTAATGACATAGAGATATTAAATGGATCAAGACAATCATGAACTCACTAGTTTTAAGAAATTTGAACTCGGCTCACCCCGCCAACTCACCTCTTGGTGTGGTGAGCCTCTCGTGACTCGTCACCTTTTTATTGAAGATTGTATATTTTTTTATTAATTTTGAACTAACCCACGAATTGATGAGCGGCTTGCTCTTGAGACAATCTAAACCAACTCAGCTCGTTTGTGGGAGCAAGTAGCTTGCACGCTTTAACAGCTTTAACATATGTATAGTGAATATGTTGAAAGTTCAATCCAAGACATGATAACTCAATGAGTAATGCTATTTAGTACATTAAATGAAAAGTACAATTAAATGAATCACATAATTTCACTTTTAATTGAATTAATCACATGATATTACATAAATTGATTTCACTTTTAATTGAATCAATCACACGATATCCACATAAATTGATGTTCTAGCATTACTGCATGTAACACTATTCTAAGTCAATACGAGCTACTAATTAGATAAAAAAATGAAAAAGTTAGTAATGTTTAAATAAAATTATTATAAAACCAATTAAAGAGTTTGCTACTAGTTTTGCAGGAAGAGAAAATATAAAGAATTACAAAGTTTAGTTGAGCAAACTTTATTCATTGGTTTTCTATAAACTGCAGGTGGTTGTATGATGGGATGTCAAATTACTTCATAACGTAATAGTTTAGAATTTGAATGCTGCTAACAGACCCTGTCAGATCCTCATAGTCGTGGGTCCCGGTGTTTTTTATTTTTTATGTGGGACCGATTCTTTGCTATAAGACTCCTGTAGGAAATTGCTAGAATTTTATGGAGTGCACTAGTCTTCTCTAGAATATATTTTATTTATTATTTTTATAATATTTTTCGGTCGAAGATGATAACAGACGGTTTGAAGGATATTATTGCCCACAATCAACGAGATGGTGCTAGAATCATCATCGTCCTTCACTCCTTCTATATAAATCAATCCCCTCTCAACAACGTTCATCACAGAATTTGAATTCAGTCATTGCAAGAGATTTAGAGTTCTTTGATTCAAGAAATCCATCCAAAAAATGTCTCTGATTCCAAGCTTCTTTGGCAACCGACGCAGTAACGTTTTTGATCCATTCTCTCTTGACATTTGGGACCCTTTTGAGGGCTTCCCTTTGTCAAGCTCGGTAGTCAATATCCCAAGCTCTGCCCGCGAAACTTCTGCATTTGCAAATGCTCGCATAGACTGGAAAGAGACTCCAGAGGGCCATGTATTCAAGGCCGATCTTCCTGGGCTGAAGAAGGAAGAGGTGAAGGTGGAGGTTGAAGAAGGTGGAGTGCTCCAGATAAGTGGAGAGAGGAGCAAAGAGCAAGAGGAAAAGAATGATAAGTGGCATCGCGTGGAGAGGAGCAGCGGCAAGTTCCTCCGCCGGTTCAGGCTGCCGGAAAATGCAAAGACGGATCAGGTGAAGGCTAGCATGGAGAATGGTGTGCTCACTGTCACTGTGCCTAAAGAGGAAATAAAGAAGCGTGAAGTCAAGTCAATTGAGATCTCTGGTTAATTACTCCGTTCACCAACTGATTCTAGTGGTGAATTTATGATGTCTGTGTGTGGTTTGATAACGTCGAAGGAACAATGTTAATGTTCTATGTTTGAAAATAAAATGTTGTATTTGCGTTTGAGGTCCAAAGGTTGTTAAATTGTTAAATAAAAAACTAAATTTCCGTTGTTCTTGTACGTCTCTACTCTTTTTTTTTTTTCTAATTATCTTCTGCCCGACGCTTTAAGCACACATTAATCGTTCTCATTGGATTTCCATTATAAAGTCGACCCCGTTGTAGTAAATAGAAAGTGATTTACTGATTTTACTGCCATCAATATAATCACTTTAGGAGGACAAAAATTCTTACTCACCTTATCGCAGAAGGAGGCGGAGGATCCCCATCTCTTTAGCTAAATGGGGTAGGGAGTCTAGGGACGGCAACATGGACTTCATTCTATTTTTATTTTTATTTTTTCAAATGAAATCCTATGTAAAAATTAAAGGGTTACAAACGGTCACTGAACTTACACAAAAATTACGGAACGTTCCCTAAAGTTTAAAATTTTAAGTAACGGGCACTTAAATATTGGGACATTTTCAAAAACGGTCATTAAAGTTTAAAAAGTTTCTAAAACGGTCAATGAAGTTGAAAAATACTTTTTTAGTTTTTTTTGTTACCTTTGCGATAATTTTTCGACTACTTTCAATCACTGATACTATTGAATTTTGATACCGTTGTCCATAACGTCCTCTTCAATTACCACTCAAAATCTCTCCGTAACAGCAAAGAATTCGACCTGAAAATCACCGCAAAAGTCGCCCCAAAAAATCTGAAAATTTGATTTTTTGGCGATATTTATGGCAATTTTCTAGCGATTTCGACCACCAAGACCGTCGAATTTTGATACCGTTGGAAAGTCCACAATGTCCTCTTCAATTACCATCCAAAATCTCCTCCAAACTCCAAAGGATTTGGTCGGAATAAACCCACAAAGTCGACATCCCAAAAAGGCGAAAATCTGGAATGTCAACTTTGTGAGTTTATTCCGAACGAATCCTTTGGAGTTTTGTGGAGATTTTGGATGCTAATTAAAGAGGATATTGAAAGCTTTCCAACGTTATCAAAATTTGGCTATTTTGATGGTCGGAAATTGTCAAAAAATTGCCACAAAAGTCCACCAAAAATCTGAAAATTTGGGCAGATTTATGCCTTTTCGGGTAGCCAACTTTGTAGGTTTATTCCGATCGAATCCTTCGGAGTTTGGGGGAAATCTTTTGTTGTAATTAAAGAGAACATTGTAGGCTTTTCAACGGTATAAAAATCCGGTGGTATTGGTGGTCGGAAGTGGTTGAAAAATTGTTGCAAAAGTTGCTCAAAAATTTTTAAACTTTAGTGACCATTTTTGAAAACGTCTCAATACTTAAGTGACCGTTACTGAAAGTTTTAAACTTCAGTGACCATTTTTTAATTTTTCTTTAAGTTCAGTGACCATTTGTAAAATTAATCCAAAAATTAAATGGTAAACTAAACTGGCCTTACATTAGGTATTTTGGACCGAGCTGTGTGCACAGTTCGGTTCACAGCCCCCTCACATCGGGGGGCTGTCGACTAAAAAAATGGACGTGGGCCCCCTCTACAGTGAGGGGGCTGTAAGTGTACAGTACTTTTTGATGCTGTACAAGTAGGTTAACCCTAGGAATCGCCTGTACATCCCTTTCGCCTTAACAAAGCTTACGACAATGCATATGGTATTTTAACTCTATTTAACCATACTCTCACTCTGCCGTCATTCCTGGAGCAACTCCCTTGGATTTTTAAATGTCTCGTCTAAAAAGAGTGTCCCATTTTGCAAAAATATATATTTTGTGATAGTAATTTTTTTTAAGAATGCATGATTAAAAAGTATGAATTTTTTTTTTTTTAGTTTATTTGTAAAAGTTGCAAAATTATTTTAAAATAAGATTGAAAGTGTTTTTTATTTTTTTTGGCTATAAAAAACTATTTTATTAATTTGCTAAATACAAAATAATTACACAACAAAAATCTTATATGTATTTTTTTTAAAAAAATATGAAAGAAAAAGTCTGAATTAAGCTCGAGAACACCAAAACTTCCAAGACCCATATCATATTATTCCTTGCAGGAGATACCCATTAACATCTTAGAAGATTTCACAAAGCCCTTATCACTTAGTTTTCGACTTTTCGGGAATATCTTACGGATGAATTAGTAGTTGTTGTTCTTGTTTTTTTAATACCTTCAATGGTTCCTATCATATATATATATATATGTGAAAGAAACATTAATACAGAATCTGAGAAAGTGGAATGGAATAAAAAAGAAAAACTTATATTGTATAATTATTTTCTGCAAGAGTTATATTCTTAACACACACACACACACATACACATATATGAAAGAAACGTTAATACAGGCCCCCCGGGGCACAGCTCAACTGGTGGATCAATCAACATTGTCTTGTTTCCAGCGACAGGGTGGAGAGTTTGATTTCTGGTGGGAACCTGTGGCCAAAAAAAACTGGTATGGAGCAATCACTGTGGAGGAGGTCTCTTGTGCGCAGAAATATACAGGCAATGGGGGGAACTTGTGATCCAATTGAGGCATAACCCACAATTTACCCCCTCCAACGTTCTAGGGACAAGGGTCTTGGGGGTCCAGAATTTAGTCAGGTGTAAGTTGGGATACCTGAATATAAAAAAAAAAAAAAAAAAAAAAAAAAAAAATTGTATAATTATTTTTTGCAAGAGGTATATTCTTAATACACACACACATATATATAAAAGAAACGTTAATACAGAATCTAAGAAAGTGGAATGGAATAAAGAAAGAAAAACTTATATTGTATAATTATTTTCTGCAAGGGGTATATTCTTAATACATATTGCGTTCGAATTCCTTTTGGGCTTCTTAGACTGTATTAAAAATAAAAACAGTTTAATTTATTCGGTGAATCACAACATTAGCAATAGGATCAAAGGCGTGATTTAAGAAGTAAACGTTTGATTATTTACTGGTTTTGCTTAATTATTGATTTAAATTTTTTAGACGTATTATATTTTGTGTTTTGGAAAGTTGATTTTCTTCTTCCTCCTAAATTGTTATCCCCTGAGTTGACCAAAGAATTCTCCTTGTAAGATCTTTAAATTAACGAAACATAAATAAATATTAACATATTTCGATTAGCTGAACTCTTTGAAATGGTATGTACAGATCATTTCAGAGAAATGAATGCTTCGTTGCCCCGTCTCTTTCTCTTTTCGTTGTACTGGTCAGCCTGGACCCTGGTGGAACCTGGTGCCGACACAGATACCTGACATAGGGCATTTGGATCTCAAGAGATCATGAATGAGTAAACCCACTGGAGGATTGAAAGGTTTTGAATGCATTGACGATAATCTTGCAAACAAGTTCTCAAGTCAGAACGGGCAGATTAGAACCTCTGAATTAAATGTTGGAAAATTTCCGGAACATGGATTTTTCACGGTATGGGTATATATAGTCACTGATACTGGACATGGATCAGATTTCTTACGTCTGATGATGCATGCTATGCAATGATTCAGCAAGATGTCCGCATCAAAGATTATGATTTTCCTGGCTTGATATAGTATACTTTTTGAGTATAGATCGTTGGCTATGCTGTGTATATATTTTGGATACATTTAGAGGGACACTAAACGATTTCATATATTTCCATCCTCTCTCCCGCCTGGCATCTCTTTTCTCCAGTTTTAAAATATTCACTAAAAATGGTTTATAAAGGTCACTGGCAGCAGATAACATCACGGAGGCAGGTGCAGAGATGATGGAGATGCAGGCTGCAGGGGAGGGTTCAGTTAAAAACACAGTAGCAATAATTTAATACTTGAATTTTTTGTACAATTCAACAGAAATTGTATATTAAAAAGGCGCGTTGATACAAAGGATAGTGTAGAATGACGAAAGACATTACAAATCGATTAAGTTACAATAAAGAAGAAAATTCTCTCAATTAAAATAGATAACACAACAATACAACACGAGGTGCAAGCCCTATGAACTGCTATCCCTAATATACATAACCTGGTAGCATATAAGAGAGCCCATTGAGCAAGAAGTGTGAAAACAGAAGCCTCGATGTTTTTTCGATCTACCATTTTGTAGACCTTGTGCAGATCTCATGAACGCACATTGAAGTGAAAAAGCCAAGAGATGACAAATGCAAATACCATGCATGCTAACAAGAAGTTCAGAAACCGGCGACCCTGCCAAAAATTATGAGACGCTGCTGGGGATGCTGGTGTCATAGCTGTGTTTGCAGTATCATTTGCTTCATTCCACTCCTCTATCAACTCAGCCTCGTTCACACAAGAAACATTTCGTGCAATTGATCCACATATCTCGCAAGTTCTGCAAATCAAACGGATAGAAACCTTAATGCATAGCATGACAAGACTGCTGCTAAAGAAATGTGACCTAAAACTCAAAACAGATGATATCAGGGCCAACGAGGAGTGCAAGATTGGCCAAGTTCGTCAGAATTACCAAATAAAGCAGCAAATAAAAGATAAATGAAAACCCACCAGATGCACAAATTGAAGAACTAATCATTGTTCTTGCTGAGATAATATTTGGTAAGTCAGTTGCATTCTCTGCAGATTTTTTGGAGATCAGAGTCTTACCAAGAAATAAAAAAAGTTGAGCTATAATTTCAGAGCTCAGGAAAGATAAAATGGAAGTATGCTTCAAATTTTAGGGATCATGTGAATGCACGGTGATTTGACAGTGGGTTAGGCTTCATTTTTCCATATCATTATCTTTTTAAAAAGTTGAACATTTCATAACTCAAAATTTGATTTTCCAAAATGTTTAGGCCAGTGAATAAGCACAGTTCAAGAAAGTAATGATCAGAACACAGATCAAGAAATGGGGATAAAAGACTTCACAAGGAAATTGTGCAGCGCATCTTATGTTATCAAGGCAAAACAGAGATTCTAGAGAAGGCAGAACGTAGTTAAATTCTCACACAAATCCAAAAAATTTTATGCCACACGGTTTGCACAGATCATTGTTAACAATCACATGGTGGCCCATCTAAATTTAAATGAGAAATCCGGTCAAAGAAATAAATATTGAAATTTGAGACAGCCATTCTAATATTATCATTGCAACTTCAAACAAAAAAAAAAAAAAAAAAAAAAAAAAAAAAAAAAAAAAAAAAAAAACCCTCCTCCAAGCATCAGAATAGATAACCGAGTGAATCGCCCCCAGGGCATATCTCCCAGTGGCAAAGGGGAGGGCGGATAGGGCTCAGCGCGGCAATGTGCAGAGTTCGATTCCCCGCAAGGTGGAATTGGCTTTGTTGCAAGCGGGAGTTACCATATGGGTTAACGGCCTTGGCCTATTCATGTGCTCTCCACCTTGGCTCCTGGGAGGCACATCCTTCGATTTACCTCCTTCACGATAGCCCAGAACAGGGTCGGTGGGGGCCCTTAAGGTTGGGGTTCAACCTTTTTTAGATAACCGAGTGAATGAATGCTCACTCATGGAACAGTTAGCAACTCTGTCAAGAGATTGCATATTTTCAAAGAACAGGTTATTTAAGAAAATTCTATTGTACTTCAGCTGCCAACTCTCCCAAAAAAAAAAAAAAAAGTCGCATTAAAAGGTTGGGTTGGTGCAGTAACCATCAAAATTCTTGAATGTTCAACGCTTTTACTGCCCAAAACACCACTACTAAATTACTGAAATGGCAGAGATACATTGTTCTCACGAATGCTTGCGGATAAAAGTTTCAAGTTACCAATGACAAAACAGCAAAACCCAGTAACTAGAGAGCATTTGAAAATGATGAGAAGCTCGACCATGAGAATAAATTGTACAAAAAAATTATCCTCAACTTCCTTTCCTTTCACCGAAAACTGCATCTCTATATAAGTGCCTTTTCTTCAGTATTTATTTACAATTCTTTTATAAATATGTCTAAGACCAAGAGAATCCACAATGGTTTTATCTAGTGGAACTCCCAGTAAAAACTTCATAGCTACCAAGTGACGATGGACGCTTATAATGAGAACTAGAAATGTAGATGAAGCGGAAAAAGGAGAACACAGAAGGAGAAGAGAGGAAGAAGAGCAACTAGGAGAGGAAATATTGTATATTCAATTCATCAAAAGCCCGACTCATATTTATAGTTGAATTCTTGACCAAACAAGGAAATAAAGTAAAATACATAAAATGCTTCGATAATAGAAGAAAACAGCAACCACTCTTATTGATTGGTATCCAGTTTGAGGAACCTGCAAATCCAATACATACAAGCTATAATAGAGACGAGACATCCATCAAGTGAAGTTAAAATCCATTTGTAAGAAGAATTGCTACATTACTGACAACCAAGTGAAAAGTTCAAATTCCCACAAAATGAACATAAAAGATTGTCAGCCATATAGGTAGAACTTCATTGTGCTTTTTATCTTTTTCTCTATTTCACAGATTCTTCCCATTTCACACAACCCCTTTTTCCTTTATGCCACATCAGGTAAGTCTTTTATTTCCATTTAAAGTTACTTTTCTACCAAAGCAGAGTTACATTGTATCTTCCTAACATTTCACCCATCCTTTTGGCCATATTGCCATCAATAATTGCAGCCAATAAGAAAAGAAACTGAACACGAAAAATCAAAACGTCATTAAACGACCTACTTGATTTGATCTCCAGTTCAGCAGCTTAAAAAGAATTACTACACATATTAAGCACACCAAAAGAAGATTAATCTCCAGATGAGTTAGCAGGGGGAAAAAAAAAAGGATTGACAAAAAGGCTATGTTAAACATTCATAAAGATCGAAACTTGAATAAAGTTTGAATCCTTACTTGTTGCCCTTGATCTTGAACCAGGCCTCAGCACATTGATCGTGGGCAGCAGCTAAATCACCTTTACAAGAACAACCCAATTCAATGGGTAAACCAGAGTCTTGATTGGCTGCATCCAAGCTCAGATGACAAATCCTACAATCCCTAATAATCTTGGCCAAATGCAGCCTGGTTTCGGGTGGACCATCCTTCAGATCCACCACCACCACCTCCACTGAACACTCTGACACATTGGATTCTCTTCTCTTATTGCTGTCGTCACTACTAGTATTTTCAGAGACACCCACAATCTCAATTCCACACGGGCTTGATGTAGAGTGGTCATTCCCATTAGAGGAGATTGAACTATCGCCTACACTTATATCGGTGGCTTGTACCTGACCACCACCATCATTGCCACTACCATTAATATTAGCAGCCTCTAAATCAACATCATTAAGGGACTTGTGTAAATTTGCCATTTTTACAGAAGCCCAGATAAGGAATCTTCATGTAGAGGAAAAATCAGACCGAGATCATTTATAGAGAGAAACACACAGTGCATCGATGAGCCGACAGTAAACTGCTCTCATATGCAGATAGATTCTGATCCAAAACCCAATTTCTGAAGAATCTAAGGGTGTTTTATTTGTGTTTCAGTTCTGTGTTTTGAGTTTTGAATTCATTTTGAGTTTTGTGTTTTGAGCGTTCGTTTTGAAATTGTTGAAAATGCGTTCTTTTTGTTAGTTTCTCAAAACAAAAAACAAAATTTTTTTTTTTTTTAATTTTGAGAATCACCACGACACCACCTCAAAACACTAAAAAAAAAAAAAATTTTTTTTTTTTAAAATTTTGAGAATCACCACACTGTCTCCTCAAAAAAAAAAATTTTAATTTTTAATTTTTTTTTTAAATTTTGAGAATCACCACACTACGTCCGAAAAAAAAAGGTGTTTCCCGCGTTTTCAGTTTTTTCAAATTTTACACTGAAAACACCCAAAACGACAAAAAAGTCGTTTTGTGTTTTTTTCACAAATTTTTTTTCGTTTTCGAAAATTCGTTTTCGAAAACGGGAAAGAGAATGCGTTTTCACCGTTTTGAAAAATCGAAAACAGAAAACGACCCGAAAACGGTAAAGAGAACAGGGCCTAACTTTTTTTATTTACTTGCAGATATGCATACGTAATTAAACGTGGTTGGATATACTGTAGGACGAATAAATTGGTAAAGCATCCTCATAATGAAAAAGAAGAAAATTTCTTTAAAAAGATTTATGAGGTTTAAGGAGGAAAAATGAAGTTTTTCTTTGGCTAATTTGTGATAGACAAGACGTAACTTAGAATGTGTAATGAATTAATAGGTTGTTTGGGGCCCTGTCCTGAATGGGACAGTTTTAGTTACTTTTGAAATTTCATTCTTTTTAAGATTTGTTAAAATTGGTTCTGTACCCAAAATTATAAAACAGCTATAAATTGACAGAGAATCTGCCCATGATTTAAGATTTAATGCATGATATGGATATAAGAGAGTTGCCTTGATTCATATTTTTGGATTACCATTTTTAGAGAATATTTCCGCGTGTAAATAATTTTAATTTTGTGCTCACTACTATTTATTTGTAGAATATCCTCAAAAACCAAGTGTAAACCATCATTCTTGTTTGTTTGAGAAGAATCAAAATAAGATTTCTGCAATTCTATACAAAGATGAACTCTTTGAGATTTCACGTGTTCCCGTTCTTATCTCTCCTCGTTGGATAAAACTAAATAACTAGCTCAAAGTTTTATCCAACCACGTTGTACGTGTGTGCATCATTTGACATCAAATTCGTTATTTACGAATAGTTTTTGTAGTAATTGGTGGCTTACAATTAGTCTTTTTTAGGAAGCAAACTCCTTAAAAATAATGTGCGAACAACTCTATGATTCTTAAACAAAACTTGATTTCGACGTACTTGTGTGAAAATATGTCTGGTACAAGAATTTTCACCTTTTTCTTTTTTTATTTTGGGAGGGGGGGGGGGGGGGGGGGCGGAGATCATAATCTATACTAGTTATCAAAAACTAGTTTATAAGGAGCCTAATACCTATGAGGAGGTTAAGTGGATGTACCGATCTCTTAAAAAGACCATAAAAACCCAATACGATGGGAGTTGAATGCAAAGTTGGCTTTGCTTTCCATTAATCTCACATGGGCTCCTGACAACGATTTATACACTAAAGTTTTCTTATCTTTGTTTCCAGTAGGTGCAGTAGCAATATTTCATTTTGATAAGTAGAATAAGAATGTATATAACTGATAAAAATATCTTATTATTGTAAATTAATTATTATTTTTAAATAACCTTTATATTCTTACAATCCTAAGTTTACCTGAAAAGTGTAGAATTTGGCTCTCAATAAAATTACTTACAAGAGTTATGATTCTTTCTCTATTCTCTTGTTCTTATTCTCTTTCCTCTTAATTTTATAACAAGTTAGTAGCACGAGCTTAATTTTGAGTAGACTTTTTGCCCAATGCCCATGAAAATTAGATTAATTTTGATGTGATGCCCTTGATCAAATCTCATTCGAAGTTCATGCACGAGTTTCCTTTATCCATAAATTATGACATGCAATGTTGTCGATTGTTATTTTTAGAAAGAAGGTAAATATTTTAGGGTTGTTTGATACAAGCCAATTTCATGAAAAATGGAATTTAAATTTCATTTTCTACCAAAATGTTTTGTTTGATAGGCAAATTTTTTCATGGAATTGGTTTTCCAATTAACCCCTCACGTGATGCCATTTTCTAGGTTTTGAAGGAATTGATTTTCCTTTGGTTTTGATTGGAATTGGGTTTTCCACCTTTTTTTTTTTTGCAATGGAAACAAATTCTATTTATAATTGTAACAATTACATCCCTTTAATTGACAATTTTCAAAAAACACAAAGCCAAACGAACACAAAAAAATCCAAAATTTTGATATTTTTCAGGTGAAAAATTATATAAATCCCACACATTTAATTGACAATTTTCAATAAAAACAAGTTTTAGACAATTCAATTTCCTGAAATTCATTTTCTTTTCACCCAAATTTCATTATTGTAATCAAACGGACCCTTAAATTCAATTTTTTGGTTATGATTCAATACAAGGTATACTAATGTAAATAAATAATTTTTTTATTATTGTAATCAATATTCTAGCGGAATATTGTATAATTGCTTCTAAAGAACCATATATTTATATATATCAATATTTTACAAGAATATTGAATTGATAATCATAAAAAGACATCACTTGATATATAATATGGAAGAATATGTTGCTTCTCAAGTACAAAGATATGCATATTCTCAATGATAAAATTAATATTAATATTTGACTTAATTGAGTTTATAAATTATTTATAAATTTATATCAAATTGAGGCTAAGTAATGCAAGATAATAGCTGACATGTGTGAGAAAGACGACAAAATGCAGACTGTTTCCATGTGTTTCACTGTTTCAGACCAAAACTAGTGAAATAATTGGTCTGAATATCTCTTCTACTAATAAAACGACTGATAGCATTGTTTTGTCCTTTTCATCATGTTGTGTAGATGTATTGTGTATATGAATCGACGGGAAAATTAAAGCTGAGCGTCCAGATTTTAGATAGTCCTTTTCATCGTGTTGTGTAGATGTATTGTGTATATGAATCGACGGGAAAATTAAAGCTGAGCGTCCAGATTTTAGATAGCGTCCGACTTCCATCTATATAAATCTATGAATTCAGATCCTGACGTGACAAAAATTGTCAATATGAAAGTTAAAGTCGCAAGCGATTTTCAATATTTGTGCATTAAGTGATTTAATAGTTTTGTACCGACTTCAAGTCACGTGAAATTTGCGTACAGTGTTAATCTCCATGTTGGTAGTTTCCGTCACGTAGAACAAATTGAAATGAAGTCAAGGACCCAACATTTCACTTTTAAAAATTAAGAACCCAAAATCATATTACTTGAAAGTAAAGGGACCGCCCTAATTTTACCTATTCCAACCATTCATAACTTCACATCACGATGAATACATTCACTTTTATGTATTATTATTATTATTATTTTGGTAATTACACTGGGCTGACACTACTCAACATAATATTGAGCAACTATTAAGCTTTGGTAACCATTCCTACAATTTTTTTTCCCGTACTTTTTTTCAACCACACGTTCTCTCGATAAAACATTTTTCATGTAAATTCAATACTTTTTCCTACCTTTTTAACTACACGTTCTCTAGAAATTACTATTCAAAAACTCATTTTTCACTAGAAAAAAAACCATCAAACAAGGGCTCTTTTTTTTCTTTTTCTTTTTCTTTTTTCTTTTTCTCAATATTATAATAGCCTTCTTGGTAAAATGTTTTGCACAAAAAAGTTCTATCTAGAAGCGTCTTTCAAACTTTCAACCTCTCCACTTTTGTCACGGTCCGCTCCAATCACAAAAATAACTTCGAAAAAAAATAAGGAACGTGCACAAGTCTGCCTCATTTCGCTGTAAAGAACCAAACATGTTGGCCTCACCCTGCCGTCATAATTCTCAATAAACCATTACTGGTAAAATAAGACCGATTAGGACTATGACCTATGAACATAAGACCATAAGAATAGTGCATTAGCAGGTCACACCTGCAGAAATTATACAAAGCAATTTGTTAATGTTAACAAAAAAAACCTCTTGGATATCCTTTGTCTGCGTCAATGATAACACCCTTTACAAGAACATATGGTTCCTGGATGCCCGAGACCCGCAAACTTTTGCAATTCAGTATTTGGATATATATACTTCCAACTCTCGACATTACACAGAAATTCGCCAAAAAGAAAATCGTTTATCGGGTTCAGCTCAAGCCTTCAACCTCAGATCGCAAAGTGAATGTAGGCATTCTCATCTGTTGGGAAACTACATCTTTTGACACACTTGTGAATGAGTTTGGTGTCTCAAACTGGAATTGATCGTTTTCATTGTTCTGTTCAAAACTATTCATGGACGTGGAGGGACCTTCTGATACTCTTAGGTGACTTGCACTTTCTGATAACCTTCCAGCATTCTCAAGGCCACTTCTAATCCAGGCAATATTGTTCAAATCCATGGCTATGGCACTCAACTCCTGACTTGGAAAGGGGGAGATTTCTTCATATTCCAAAAATTCTGGCCCCAACAAGGAGCGGACAGAAGAGTTTCGACTGGAATGTGTACAACAACCATGGCCACAATGCAGAGGGATTATGGTCTCACCACTCGCACCTTCAAGAAACTTGCAGATTCCCAAATCTGGTTTGGATGCTTGGATCAAAGGTCCCTGCATTGGGATTGTCCTTGGAAAAGCAGAGTCAAGGCTAGGATTGTAAACATTGAATGCACCTACTTTAGCCACTGGACGAGAAATCACAGGATTATTTTCTTCAACCGAGGTATAAATCACGGGACGATTTTCTTCAGCTGAGAAATAAACCATGGGATGGTTTTCTTTAGCAGAGGGATCAATTGTTACTGAATCTGAGGATATATTTTGTTTGGGAGCACAGCAATTTGTAGTAGCTTGAACTTCGTCTTCGAACTGCCTTGGTTGATTTGCCACCATTCCCATATCCAATCTCTCTGAAGACTTGAATGATTTCATATTGCCACCTGACAAGGTTTCTTCCGAGGATGCAGGTTTCAACCCGCCATTATTCACACACTTGCGCCTTAGTGTAGAATTCCAATGGTTTTTAATTCCATTGTCAGTTCTACCTGGGAGAAGTTTTGCAATTGACGCCCATTTATTTCCATGAATTGCATGGGCTGCTAAAATTATACGATCTTCTTCATCTGCAGAAGATAAGCTCAATCAGACTTCACAGGAGTACCAAATCACAAACATCAATTAGAATCTTTTGTAAGAACCAAATTTTGAATACTTAGATAATCTACGCATAAAAGGACAAATAATGCTTTGCACGGAAGGATCTGAACACCTAATAACAAGATTTCTCCCACCTGGAGACTGATATTAAATAAAAAATAAGTAGTCTAGGTCCCATGATACACTCTTAAATGTAATACTTAAATGCAAGAAGTGAAGTTTCTCATCTATTGTTCAAGGTTACTGGTCATTGTATGTTCACACCACCATTCACATGTCGCTAGAGTGACAGCCAGTGGGGTTTTCTACAGTGTTCTGTTCCTAATCTAATGTAATGTTTGCAATTCCAAGGCTCATTTAGCTTATTGGATTTAAGTTCCTTTTAGCCAGGGGAGGAAGTATTGAGGTTTCATCGAAGATTTAAAAACTACGCAATTATTTCAGGCATAAACATACGTAATAGATGTTTTATTTTCTTACTATAATTACTAGTTCAAAGTTATTAATATTTCATTTTCGGTAGGAATCTTAAGCATGAACAACAGGTATTTCTTGATAACGTAGACATTGATTCATGAGATTTCTATCTAGTTGTCTGTCTCTCTCTGAAATTTTCTCCATTCTCTTTTTCTCTTTAAGGTTTTACATCAGTATCTTGAACTAATGAAGCTGGCACAACCTTTTATGGAGCATCCAATTATCTGGCCATAATATTGGTTTCACTTGTGCTTATTGTTCCTTTCTTAGGTAATAAATTTAAGCTAGCCCAACCTTTATTGGTATGGGTTTAACCTGAATCCACCTCATAAAAAAAATTTCTGGATGCGACTATTCATTCAAGTCATAGAACGGATGGTATATAATGGATTTAATCAAAATAAGTAGCTTCAACTTTAGAGAACCTAGACAAGACTACAGCCATGCAAGGTTCTAGTACTAAAACTTTCTTGGAGAAATTGGTCATTTTTCATCTTTTCGCATCAATAATAAAAAATAAAAAAAACAAAGGCAACAATTTTATTGTTAACCAATATCTTAAACACTTCTAATTATTTACGATTCTTGGTTCAAGTCGACTGCTCAAACCAGACAAATAAGAAACAATTACAAGCCACAAAATTCACCTAGCCCTTTAAAAGTTCGCTACGCATAAACCCAAACAAATCATAGTTACTCAATCTAGCTATATACACCATTATTTGCTAAGAAGCCCAATGAGCAAAAGATATAACAATGATGAGAACATCTTTGATTATTTACAGTGTCACAAGAACCAACAGAAGGTACTTAAAGAGCAAGCTGAAAAAAAAAAAGGTAGATGTTTTGGAGACATCGATTATAAACTACGTATATTTGCCCCCATAGAGATAATGGTAAATATTCAAATTGGTATCTTTGAATTCACAAAACAAATGACACCAAGAGCAATACAAGCCAGGATTTTATTTGGAACTGGACTCAGGAACCATTTCTCTCAGTACTAATTCATGAGAAAACTACCAAGGGAAGAGAAGCACATTAGAGCATTACATTAAGTCCTCAACACATTATCCATGAGGAGAAAAATAAAGACATCCCTTGCCGGACATCAAGTTTGAAACAGATTTATACAGTATATCCAGACATTTATAATATCTCAGAAGGGAAAGTGGCAATTGACCAATTTAAATAGGTCTGGTCCATGATATAGAGGGAATTATCATTTGAAGTGACTAGAGTTGAGAATTGATCAAACATGAAAAGATGATTGTGATTCAAAATGTCGATAAAACATCTGAATATAGTAAAGCTGACTGAATAAGGTTCAAAGAGTTCAATTACATCTTCACTAAATTAATAGCAAATGAACTTTAGAACAGCCTATCTATGCAAATATATCGACACAACCCAAATCATTGTCCAAGGAGTAAGTCTTCACCAGGGTAACTTCCATGTTTTAAGCAGGGTTCACCTAACCTATTGCATAACTAATGTTTTGGAACACAAATTGTTCCTCTATAACTTCCGGAAAATTTTTCCAGCAAATTAGGGAAAGCTAAAGGCGTACATATCTCAAACAATTTTCACGTTATAATTTAACAGAATCAAACAACAGAAGATACATATTCAATTCATGTCACATTGTTCATCCCAAGCAAAAGAACGACTCTTAGACTTCCTCAAAAAATAGCACTAGTGAGATTTAAAGAAGCCTACCCACTACATACTGTTCAAAGTAAATTGCAGTTCGAGTTCCAATTCCATGAGTTTCACTGGTCCATGCATTATAACATCAAGCCAAACTTTAACGGCTATGAAAAAGAAACAGAATCTCTAACCAGCAGCCTACTTTCTACCAATAAATGAAATCTGCCTAAATTGTAATTTCCCAAATTTATCATCAATTGGTTCAACCTCCACTCGTTGGCAAAATATTCTCATTCCTTATCTTATCTATTTCTAGTGTGGTCCCACATCAATCTAGAATCTAGACACACTTATTTCTGAAATGAAATGAAAAGAAATCTCTTACTTTTTACAAGGCTACTTAAATAATTAAGAATGTCATTTTCACCAGCATCTATCATCTTGAATAGGTCCTCAATCAAAAGGCAACCAAGATGTTGCCAATGATTCTAATATTTAAGAATATATAATTTAAGAAACCTTAATAGAAAATCTTATAAAACTGTATAGATGTGTATTAATATAAGTCCGACTCCACTCATCTCATGCAAGATCTGATCTTGCAATGGGGGAGCCAAATTTGTGCATACTTTGAAGGTCACAATGTTTCAACTTCCTCTAAATTTGGATCAAGCATGCCTTAAATTAGCTCAGAAAAACTCAAGTTCACATTATCCAAAAGCCAAGGTTGAGCTTTAATTCACAATTAATTGAAACTTCAGACCACGGCAAGTGACTTGTAATTTATTTATTGGCTTAACAAGTTAACAAGCTCTACAAGCAGTTACGGATAATCAAATTTTGTGTTCAACTAGTATAAACTGCAGTTTGCCAATGTCAAGTTAGTATGAACTGGAAAGACGGCCAGAATTTAATCATCAAAGACTTTCACACCACAACACCAACATAGAGTGCCTACATTTGCATATTTAACACACCAGGACCAGTAATGAAGACTAATGCTATAAAGTGGCATTGCAAGCATCATCTACTTCTCCATTCAACAAAAGATGGAAATCTTTGTGGGTTTCAACTCCTGTAATTTCAAACCTTAGAAAACAAAAGCATCTTTAACTTTAAATACCCAAAATATATTTAGCAATAGAAAACCAATGCTAGACTAACGCATTACAGATGTTAAACCGCAGCAAACACACCATCGCAGTGAAACAAACCAAAAACCATACCAATTTTCATGTCAAAAGACACACCAAGGAGATCACCAAATTCATTCTTCATTTGTATTTCCAACTAAATAAAGATGAATTACATCCAACTTACCAGTAAAAGGTTTGCGCTTGACGGAAGGGTCGAGCTGATTACACCAGCGGAGGCGGCACGACTTCCCAGACCGACCCGGTATTCCCCTTGCGATCATGCTCCAATTCCTCGCCCCAAACTTACTCACCAGCCGACTTAAAATAGCATCCTCTTCCGGCGACCACGGCCCACGAACCCTTCCCATTCCTCCGCCAACAGTACTCTCCCGTTCTTCTCCTCCTCCGTCATCCACCGATATTAAACCATGCCCCGCCGGGTCGATGAGTTGTTCCAACTCGTTTGGCTGCTGCTCCGCCTTCTCTTCCATTTCCTTCATTTTTTTATTTTATTTTATTATTATTATTATTATTTTTTCCCTGTTTCGAGAATAATTGTGCGATGCAACCGCACCTAACAGCGTATATAACTGCAATGGGCATTGAAAGTTGAAGCAGCGGCAACTGATTTGGGTATATTACAGTTTGGTCCCTCAACCTTTTAAAATACAGCACTTAAGCTTACACTTTAAACTTTGAGATTTCCGTTTCACGTCAGTCTATTTTTTTGGTCAACACCTCTAATATGTTCCACATTAGTGATAATCTACATGCATATTCTTTGTGTACGTCTTTGATGATATTTCAATATGTGTCAAAATGGAGATTATTGATTGATTTATGTGTTGGACAAATCAATAACAGAATTATGTGTCACGTGGTGGAATATAAATCAAAATTTCAATCAGATTGTAAATGTAACAAAACTAAATAAGAAAAGTGGGCGAAACCCAAATGAAATAAGAAAGGCAGCATGTCACAAATAAGTCATATTAGCGTGCAAAATTACTTGGTTAGATTTGTTAACAAGTGGTATCGTAGTATACATAATCCTTGTTAACTTTATAGCACTCCTTAAAGTGAAAAGTTTCCTAATGATTTCATCAATTTCAACAAATAAATATACCAATTTCACTTCTTGTTCGTGGTTCAAATATAAATATCAACAAGGGGGAGGAGCATGAGGAAGAAATAACTTCCTCTAAAAGGCCTCAACATCTGCAATTGGAAGTTGGCCACATCTTACAAAGCATGTTATAATTACTCTAAAAATCGTTATATTTGAAAATCTAGTATATACACGACTCTTCTAAATACGCATTAAAAGGAATGTCTTGTGAAACATAAAGGTTTCAATATAAGAAACAAATCCAACTTGCATTTTTCCACTTTCGGAGATGGTGTCTAGTTGGGTTTATTTGTAGGAAAATAGACGATAAATATAGTCAATATATGTAGTAGGGGCAGAGCTGCCCCTCAACACAACAAAGAAAGGACATTTGACCACCCAGTTATAAACCGACTTCTAAAACTATGCTTTGTTCATATGCCTTGGAACTATATAACAAAAAATGAGAACACTTCATATATAATTTCAAAAAATTCGATGGGTGTTATATTGCTTATCTCTTATTTTGGAAAGATCTTACCATAAAGTCACATTTCACTTTTTGGCAATGCTAATGTGAATATAGCTATCATTGATAATTAGAAATCTTAATCCCAACTTTGATGCTTAACTATGTTGGAAAAATGGTTATGAAATGCGTCAACTTTGAGCCCAAATTTCAGTAGGACCCACATTTTAATTAATACGAGACCTAGCATATTCACGTTCTACTCCGCAAGATGATTAACGTGATATATTTATTTGTCGAAAACTATTTAGAATTGAATGAAACATTAAGTGTTAAAGTAACCCACATAAAACTAAGTATTATGGAAGAATTTGATTTTTCAAACACTTATCCCACATAGAAAAGTTAAAAAACTTTGGTGTGGTTTATAAGGTGGAAGTTTGGGAATTGAGATTGGGCCCCAAAGGGTACCAATAGTTTTTGGAAGGGAGAAGACCTACATCCTATTGGGTTTGGTCATAAACCCACACGCACGAGCACGTGTCCGAGTCGTGTTCGGTTCGTGTTCGTGTTCGTGTTCGTGTTCGGGTGGACCTTTGCACTATATTAACTTTTTTGGACAAAATTTATTTAAATATAGGGGCCAAATTGTAAATAATCAAATTATCGGGTACATTATGAAATTTAAATTTTTTGGCTTATTCCGGGTGATTTTTTGGTCTAAATGGACTGTTTAACAATCGCCTGTTAACCGACCAAACAGTCGATTGTTAACCGACTAAACAGCCGACTGTTAACCGACTTAACAGACGCGACTTTGGAACATGTTTGTTCCGGGTTTTTGAGGTTTGTCTGAAAGGTGACGACTGTTCGAATGGTCACGAATAAATCTATAAATAGCCCGTCTCTCTGCTAGAAAATTCACACCATTTTCATTGCAAACTTTCTGTGTTTTGAATCTTATTCTCTTCTCTCTCGTTCTGATATTGTTTCGAAGTCAAATAGACTTTGTTGAGTTCGTTGGAATTCCTGTAGATTGTAGTGCTGCTTTCGTAGGAGACGAAAATTCATTCTATCTTGGGAAACGATTACTAGACGCCTTTAGCACCATTGAATGCAGCAAATTCGTTTGAAGGAAATATCGTGAAGTCGGTGGGCTCGAATTACATTTTGGATCCTGTTGATCATTTTTTACATTCAGGTGATTCTGTCAGACTATTTTCGAAGGAGTAACTTCAAACTCTAGAAACAACAATTTTAAAATGAATTTCGCTATTATTCTGTTTCTGTTTCTACTCCTTCTTACGGTTGATCTTCTGATTGTGATTCAGAAATGGCAACTTCTGGTACCACACTCCCGAATACGACCGGGGAAAAATCAGAAAAATTTAATAAGTTAGATTTCAAGCGTTGGCAACAAAAAATACTTTTTTTATCTGACAACATTAAATCTGGCTAAATTTCTCAAAGAAGAAGCGCCTTCATATACCAAGCAAGACAGTGATACTGAAAAATTGGCTGCGGTTGATGCATAGAAGCATTCTGATTTTTTGTGTAGAAATTGTGTACTCAATGGATTGGACAATACATTATATAATGTATACTGCAATGTGAAGTTCGCAAAAGAACTATGGGAATCTTTGAACACCAAGTATAAAATAGAAGATGCCGGCACGAAGAAATTTATTGTCGATCGATTTTTGGACTATAAAATGGTTGACAGCAAGACTGTCATATCCCAAGTTCAAGAACTTTAAATGATACTTAGCGACATTCATGCCGAAGGAATGACACTAAGTGAATCATTTCAAGTAGCTGCACTGATTGAGAAATTACTGCCTTCATGGAAGGATTTCTAGAATTACCTAAAGCACAAGCGGAAGGAAATGAAACTTGAAGATATCATTGTCCGATTGAGAATAGAAGAAAACAATCGCAAAACTAAAAAAATGAATGGTGCATCTCATTCGATGGAATCAAAAGCCAACATTGTAGAAGGAGGCTTCAAAACTAGCAAAAAGAGGAAGCATAATGGTGAAGAACAAATTGGTTTTTCAAAAACTGCTAAAAAGTTTAAAGGCAACTGTTACAATTGTGGCAAGGCAGGACATCGATCCAAGAATTGTCGAAAGCCAAAGAATGTGAAGGGAAAAACTCACCAGGCCAATATAACAGAACATGAGAACCTCACTGATAAGGTACAAGACATGAATCTTTCAGCGGACGTCTCTGAATGCAACTTAGCTGGAAACACTAAGGAGTGGTGGGTGGATACTGGAGCTACTAGTCACATATGCTCAAACCGCGGGATGTTCTCTACCTACAAAGCGATGGATCATGATGAACATCTCTAAATGAAAAACTCGTCATCTTCCAAGGTAGAAGGACATGGGAAGATAGTGCTGAAAATGACAAGTGGAAAAGAGCTCACTTTGAATGACGTTCTTCATGTGCTCGATATTAGGAAAAACTTGGTATATGGTTCTCTACTAAGTAAGAACGTGTTTAAGCTCGTATTTATCTCAGACAAATTTGTACTCTCAAAGAATGAAATGTTTGTAGGAAAGGGTTACCTGAATGAGGGGCTCTTTAAGTTGAATGTAATGACTGTTGTACCTCCAATTATGAATAAGAATACATCTTCTTCTTACTTGCTTAAGTCATTTAACATTTGACATGAACAATTAGGACATAAAAATTATAACACTTTGCGCAGACTAATTAAATTAGATTTATTACCAAAGTGTGATTTAAATCCTAATCACAAATGCGATATATGTGTAGAAACCAAAATGTCACGTTTACCCTTTCGTTCTGTTGAAAGAAGCACCAAACCCCTAGATTTAATTGACACTGACATATGCGATTTAAAATTTGTTCAAACTAGGGGAGGTAATAAGTACTTTATCACTTTTATCGATGATTGTACTCGATGTTCTTATGTGTATTTGCTCAAAACCAAAGACGAAGCAATTGAAGTGTTTAAACACTACAAGTTAGAAGTTGAAAATCAACTTAGTAAAAAGATTAAGGCCATAAGAAATGATAGAGGTGGTGAATATGATTCACCATTTGAGAAATTCTGTTTGGAACACAGAATTATTTATCAAAGTACCGCGCCTTATTCTCCTCAATCTAATGGTATTGCTGAACCCAAGAATCGAACATTGAAGAAGATGATGAATGCTATGTTAATAAGTTCTGGATTACCGCAGAACTTGAGGGGGGAAGCCTTGCTTTCTGCCAACTATATTCTTAACAAACTACCACATCGAAAAACGCATAAGATACCTTATGAAGTATGGAAATATCACAAACCTAATTATAAATACATGAAGGTATGGCGATGTTTGGCTAAGGTAATAGTTCCTAAACCTAAAAAGGTTAAGATAGGACCTAAAATCATTGACTGTGTATTCATTGGTTATGCCTACCATAGTAATGCGTACAGATTTATGGTATATAAGTCTGAAATACTCGATATGCATGTTAATATGATTATTGAATCAAGGGATACTACATTTTTCGAAAATACTTTTCATTATAACATGTAAGGTGAATCAAATTCACAAAAGAGATTTCGTGAAAATGAAGAGACTATAGATCAAGAATTTATAAATGAACAATCTAGACGAAGTAAGAAGGCTAGGACGTCAACTTCCTTTGGGCCTGACTTTCTAACATACTTGTTAGAAAATGAACCTCAAAGTTTTAAAGAGGTTATATCATCAACCGAAACTTCATATTGGAAAGAAGCTGTTCATAGTGAAATTGAATCCATACTACAAAATCATACTTGAGAATTAGTAGATCTCTCTCCCGGTAATAAGCCTTTTGGGATGTAAATGAATTTTCAAAAGGAAAATGAAAGCAGATGGATCAATTGACAAATATAAAGCAAGGCTTGTCGCTAAAGGCTACAAGCAAAAATAATGTCTTGATTATTTCGATACCT